TCAGCTAACAGATAACGAGGCAGTGTCGTTATCTATTGGCAAATGTTTAGCTGGCCCCACCACGTCCAGAGTTGATGAATTTTTATTCTCTTTTTTTTGGTCATCATAATTACAAGGCTACTGCACCTCTATAATGCTATCATTGACAATTTGAAACAAAAAAAAATCCTCCATACAACCTTTAATTAATGTGTAGTCATGAATTTAGTTTCAGTACATAGCATTAGTCTAATTGTAACTGCTGTGCAATTTAGACAAACTGTGTTAACATTATGGTTGAATAGGTAAAAGTTATGAAATGACCTCTGCTATGTCATATATGGAGCCACAAAATAACTTACTTATCTTCTTCTAACATTTTTTTTTTTTTTAATCCAGGTAGATCGAATGAAAACAAGTCTGATTCAACTTGTCTTCACTTGTCTTGCTCTTTTTTTATGTGCAAAGTGAATGTGAAACAAACATTGAGAAAAGTGGATGTAAGGGAACTGTTGCTTCTTGTAAATGCAGACCTATTATGATAATTTTGAAACTTTTCAGGCCCTCTTAACCATATTACAGATATTTCTCCTGACTATTTACCAGTGCAGTTGTGCAGTTTATGTGCAGATAATTTAGGTTAATAAGCAGCATTTGTAAGTATTTTTTATTTGCACGATTAAAAAACTGCTGCAATAGCCTTATGTTTGACAAGCAGCTTAGGTATTTTTCACAGAAAATGAAGGTGCTGCATCCAAACATGGATCCTATGATCATAAAACAGCCTGAGTCCTGATAAAGGCTTAAAGCCTGAAGTGTTTGTGCTGTTCACAGACGCTATACATAAATATTGTTCTTTCTGCTCTGAGAAGTTCACAGGGGCAGAGACACTGACACTATCAGGAAAATTAAACCTATGAAATTTATAAAGATTTATATTATTGAACTGAGGCTTTATAAACCTCTAAAATGCACCGGCATGTGACAAACTGCATAGAGTCTCTTCAAAACTTTCCTGGGGAGGAGCATGGAATGATAGAATAGAAAGAAAGATAGATAGATAGATCCATGGTGGAGGTACCTTGGGATCGTTGTCATGGTGATTCCCACCAGGTGGGCTTGGGTCACGTGGGCACAGATGTATGCTGGGTTCTTTTAAAAATGGTGCTCACCTGCCAGTGTTGGGAATGTGACTTTTAAAATGTATTCCCCTACAAATCACAGATTACATACCCCAAAATGTAGTTTGTAACGTAATTAAGCCATTAAGGTACTTAAAGTGAGTAACGTAATCTGAATACTTTGGATTACTTGATTTGCTGTAGAGAAGCAAAGACTAGGATATCATAAAATAAGATGTTTTGTCTGATAAAAGACAATAAATAGTCCGGACTTTACTTAACCGTATTAAAAATATTATTGATAGAAGAGGAATAGACACGGTCTGCACAGCATGATTTAGTCCTGTTAAATCCTGTTTTAGTCCTGGTTTTAGTCCTGGTTTAGTCCTGGTTTAGACCTGGTTTTAGTCCTGGTTTAGTTCAGGTTTAGTCCTGGTTTAGTCCTGGTTTAGAATTGGTTTTAGTCCTGGTTTAGTCCTGGTTTAGTCCTGGTTTAGACCTGGTTTTAGTCCTGGTTTAGTCCTGGTTTAGTCCTGGTTTAGACCTGGTTTAGACCTGGTTTTAGACGCGGTTTTAGACCTTGTTTAGACATGGTTTAGACCTGGTTTAGACCTGCTTTAGACCTGGTTTTAGTCCTGGTTTAGTCCTGGTTTAGACCTGGTTGATTTGGCTGAAGGGGTTCAGGCCTATGCAGAACAGTAGTGGGGACAGTGAGTCTCCTTGGTATATGCCACATTTGATGGACACTTGTGCAAGTAGCTTCCCATTGGCTTCAAGGTTGGTTTTCCACAACCGCATCAAGTTTGCAATGAAGGCCCTTAGAGTCCTGTTGATATTGTACAGCTCCAAGCACTCAGTGATCCATGTGTGTGGCACATGGTTCTGCAGTCGCGGGCGACTGTTCGGTCAACCAGGAGTTGGTGCTTGGCTCCCCTGGTGTTTTTGCCCATGCCCTTCTGTGCTGCGCTCATGTATTGATCCATGTGCCCACTTATCAATAGCGTGTGTGAAAAAGGATTGGTTATTAGTTTTGGCAACTGTGAAAGATAAAGATAAGTTCTACCGCTGCTTTCTGTGTGATAGTTACATTTATTGATTTTTAAAATGTATTTATTTATTTATTTATTTTAAGTTGTTTTAATGTCAAATCCAGGATTACGTAACATGTTGAACGTGCTTTGCTGCTGTCCCTATACTTAATTCGTTGCAACAATCTAAACTCCTCACTGAAATCACATTCTTTTATCTGTTGTCTGTCTCTCTGCCCTCCGCCCCTCATGTGTATACTCTCTGGTTTCCTCATGGGGTTTCCTTCCGTTGTCTCCTCTGAGCTTTGACACAACACTTAATATGGCGTGTTTAATTGGCAGCTGAAAAATTTAGGATCGAGGAGAGAAATCAATGAGGAGGAAGCGAGGAAAGAGAATTGAGACACGACAAAAAGAACAGAAAGAAAATAGGCAACAACAAATGGGACAATGTCGATCTAATCTCAGGGAGAGCCATCACTCTCCAATTACAGCTGCGAGCAGAGTATGAGGCCCCCTGGTGGACACAAAATGCACGAATCATAGACTGTATATATAATACAGTCTATGGGATTTAGAGGTGGAACAAAGTTGTTGTTTTGCGAGTCTCAAGTAACTCTCAATTTTTTTATCTCAAGTCCGAGTCAAGTCCCAATTCAAAGACAGGAAACTCCCAAGTCGAGTCTTGAGTCACTGGCCCTTAAGTCCAAGTCAAGTCCAAGTCGTCTGCTTTGAGCTTCAAGTCATTTTAAGTATTTAAAGCAAAGTACCAAATATTGCCTAGATTTGTACAGTTTATATGACTTTTAAAGTAAACTGTACTTTAAAAGTCATGGTATATTTTTATATGAGTATTTATATAAGAGAATGAGAATTGCTAATTTTCCCTTTTTAAACATCTTGTCAAAATCTTAGTGTGAATCATTCCGGTCAGAACAGAAAGAATTCAAATTTAAAAGTGCTTAATATCAGATATTTTGTCAAAAAGGATCATGTCCTTTGTAGTTCCCTCTGTTTTACTGTATGGTACTGTAGTGTACTGTATTGTACTGTATATAACTGTAGTACGTTTGAGGATACCACCTCACAGTACTTCAGTTACATACAAAGTAACAAAAAGAGAAGTGGGAGGGACATGTTCCAGTTTGTTAAGCACTGCATGTATCAACTGTAAAGAGAAAAGTATTTTCTAAAAACAGACATTTTTTTAGCAGAAGAATCAAGTCTTCTCAAGTCACAGGCCTCAAGTCTGAGTCAAGTCCCAAGTCTTAGTCTACTTTATCATGTCAAGTCTCAAGTCCTAAAAAATAGTGACTCAAGTCTGACTCGAGTCCAAGTCACGACTCTCAAGTCCCCACCTCTGGCCTAGATAAATTAACTATGCAACGAAATTCAGAGTGATGACTGAGGTAGGCCTGTGTTGTGTATGTGATATACTATACGTCTTCTTTATGAGTCAGGTTTTTGATCAGGTTAGCATGGTGGAGTAGCGGCTGGCGTGGTGCTCCCCTTTCCATTTTTATGTAAAAATATGCCTTTTTAGGGTGTACAAGAAGGCGGGCTCACCCTATGGTTTCTGTAAAAATACAAATACAGGTAAAATGAATAAAGTAAATGAGTAAAGTAAATAAATAAAAATAAAGATACAATCCAGTTATTTCCACTGTGCTACATTTAGCAATGCTAGCTAGCAAAATAACATGTGTTAAGATAAAAATGATCACTATCTTTAACCAATAAACAGAAACTGAACGTGAAGCCATTTTTTTTCCCCTCTTTACTAAAAATGTGATGCAATCGCAAATCAGAATCACAAGTCTTTTATGGTGGTTTAAAATGAAAAGGCCTCTGATCTGAACAGCCACTACCTAAAGCATTTGCCAATCAATAATCAGTGCTAGTGCAGCCTCTGCAGCTCAGTGAGGGAATTCATGGGGGTTCTGTGCAAGACAGATACATTTCATGCCACACTAGGAATCATTCAAAGCAAAGCAGTTACATATTCCATGGAGACAAGCTGGTGGCAGAGTGACCCTCCTACACAAAAGTAGGCCTAACATTTGTGGTATGTACAAAAGCAGACTTGAATGTTAAATGGTTAGTATGTGAGTGTAAAACTAGGTTTTGTGGTGGATCTGTTCATGAAATGGATTTAGGTGATTTGTTTTTGCATCATCGTCAAACTGAAATCCAGAAGCTGAAGTAAAGCAAAAGTTGATTGTATTTGCTTTTTTCTACCATGTAAATTAGACATTAATATCAGAATGAGAACTAGCAGTGCTCTAAGAATGTAAGTGCATTACGCCCTCTAGTGGATAAATAGAAAACAAACTATGCCACAAAAGAGTTAAGTAAATGTATTTTATTCAATAATAACCATTTATTACAATCAGTTAAACTATTTACCTTGAAACAATTTAACTTGACTAAATATTATTAGCTTTCAACCCAGAAGTAAAATATATTATGAATTTGGTCACAATGCAGATGTAAAAGACAAAGAGTAAAAAAATACAAGAATCTAAGGATTGTCTATTTGTTCTTATATCTTTATGACAAGAAGGTTTTACGTAACTATCTACAGATGAGTCTTTAAAACTTCTATTTCTTGTATATTTGAAAAAAACAAAAAAACATGCATGCATTAAATAAATATTTACAAACCTGATTGACATTCACCCAATCAAGACAAAATTTAGCCTATCAGAGAGGGTCGGATGGCAGTAACAATGTATTTTCTAAATGATAGGAAAAACTAAATTTTAGAGACAATGAAACATTTTTGTCATTGTTTTTGTAAAATGCAAGGATCAGAATCATCCCAAACATGGAAAGGTGTACTACATGAAGTTGAAAAAAGAAGACATTGAGATAAATTAGAGAATTTATTTAAAAATAATCTTAATGATAGTCTTAATCGTTAATACAATATCAAAGACCAAAACAAATAAAATAAAGAAAGAGAAAATGTGACAAATTACAGCTTACTTTCACTATTGCAGTTCTTCCCAAGTCATTACTACAGATTGATTGAAGGAACGTTTGAATTAAATAGGAAACATAATCTAAAACAATCATCTATAAAGTCAAATTCTACTCTTACCATATAAACTGCACTTAATGTTAAAGGTGCACTATGTAACTTTTTAGATGGGGGTCCGTCAGCTTTTTATTTCTATGGAAATGTCATTGCTCTGCTTCAAATGTTCTACAATATGACATTAAATAGATCTACCTTACATTTACTCAATGACAGGTGTTTTTAATGCACAAAAATACCCAGAAAAACAGTTTTTCTACAGTCTGTTTTTTAGTTTATTATTATTATTTTTTATATATATTTTTGAGCATTGAGTATTTTTGTCTCTCCACAGACCTGACCTGTAACTTGGTCTGGTTTGGCCTCCATGAAAATAGAAAGGTTTAATACCATACTGTGAAACATTCCAGACAAAGCAATAATCTCCATGGAGAAAAGCATTTGACGAATCCTCCACCAGAAAAGTTACACAATGCACCTTTAAGGATGTTGTTGAGGGTCAATTACAAGAACATCAATGTCACACAAAAATTTTGTTACACCTGATTTTTTTCACATGAATTTGAGCAAAATATAAGCAGCACTTGAGGTCAAAATAAGTCTTCTGCGTACTGTCTACTACTACATAGAAAGTCTTTTTTTGTCCAATAATCAGGAAGTGCGCTATAGCATGCTAGTTGTTAGCTTTACTGTCATGGCAAAATTCCACTCTGATCTCAGAGTTATGAGAAACACTTTACACACGTTTTTAAAGTACAGCGGCTTTAAGTTAAATTAAACTATTACCATCATATAAACTGCACTTCAGGCTGCTGGGAGTCAATTACAAAAGCATCAATGGTACATTTCAATTTAAGTTAATAAATATTACAGACAAAATGGAAGCTCACTGGATTTACTCCATTTTGCAGTAACAGGTAAAAAGCTATCTCCAGCTATGTCCAATGCTTTGTGTTTTAGACACTGCATTTCTCAAAATATAGAAAGGTGCATTTCAAGGTGAAAGCATTCAAAAAGGCAACCGAATTGTCTAATATAGGCCACCGTACTCAAAGGTGGGACTTTGCAACTTCCTTGTATGTTAACAGTTTAGAAGCAAAATAGTGTAACACAGTTTTATCTTCCTGCCATGTAAAGAAAACCTATAACTGTCCAGAAAAAAAAAAGACTACAACATTTTTTATATTAAAATGCTTTAGATCAACAGCAGCTATTGTCACTTTCAAATGACCATAACTGAACAACCTTTATCCATAATATAGGTTAGCATAACTTAAAGAAATAAGGTTTGGTATTATTAAGTGTATACCATAGTAACAACAATAAAATTTATGTTTAAAATTATCTTTATCTACTTATTATTTTTAATCAGAATAAAACTATTTACCACCTTTTTACAACAATTTTTGAATGTGCAAAACTAGACAGAAACCCTTCATAAATTGGCTGTGAATGCATTTCCAGAGCCAATGTAACTGCATAAAGAGGAACAGATTCAGCAACACCCACACCACTGATTTAGGTCCATTATGACAACAGCGCTACAATACGAATCCAGTTAAGCCCAAATGTACTCATATGGTTTTAAAGGTCCTATATATTATGCAAAATTGAATCTTGTGAACTTTAAGCCATCTTAAAATGTTGTTACCTCATCAAAACATACCTGGACATACCTTGTTTTTTGTTTCATTCAAACATGTTTGAGTAACTCTTTATTATTAATTATTAAATGCTCTGTTCCACCTTCTGATGTCATGTAGTGGTAGTTGAAATTAACAGTTACCTTTTACCTTTTGTTTAATAGAGACTGGCAAATCCAGAGCTGAAATAATCCAAGTGATTCCAGAGTATAGAGTTTACAAACACAGTGGAGCACTTCTTATATTTCTTCATGACATCACAAGGTGGAATAGAGTGTTTTCTGTTTGAGAGAATAACTCAGCCTAAATATGCAGGGTTTGTGTGTTAAATTTGTATTAATGAAACAAAACACAACTCCAGGTATGTTTTGATGAGGAAACAACATTGTAACATAGATCACAAAATAGTGTAATATGGGCCCTTTAAACAACATCCAAGGGTCATGGCATGTGGGGAAAATGACTGATTATTAGTTGTGACAGCTGTAAAAGATATATATAAGGTCTATGGCTGATTTTTTGTGTGATAGTTACATTTATTGAGTTGTTATGAAGTGGCAGAATGTCATACTATAAGTTAATGTTGGATTTATGACAATGTTTTACTAATAATAAATAAGTTTACTGCTTCCTAAAGTGAAACATGACTGCGGATTAATCCACATTTTGTCTGCCTTTATATGTAGATATATAGATATATGGAGATGTTCAGATTCTAAATTGTTAGGATTATACTCCTGGGGAAGGACTTTGTGGGGACCATATTGAAAACAATGATTTCAACTGCACTATTGCTGTAACAACAGAAGTCTGTGAAGTGCCAAAATCTTCAAATCAGGATGTAATTCTTATGCCTGAAACCCATTAATTGATAACAGTGTATTTTATTAGAAATATCCAAAAGCTAAATTCTCAAATGTTGAATCTGATCATTTCAATCAGTGACTCAATCTGAATCCATCCAATTTCCGTCTGTAATAAATAATAAAAGCCCATTTTGGACCTGATTTGGCCCTAGTTTGATTTAATTGTAGATCTAGTGGTACTGATTGCCGATATTTTGCTTGGCTTTTCTTACGTTTGAGAGACAATGAGTTCACTGAGCTTAATTTACAGAATTGCATCCCATCCTGATTTACCATATTATATTCTGGATTTAACTGAATACGAAATAGGAACAGTGAAGGCCTTGGGAAACGAGAGTAATTGAAGTCTATGCGTTTGTATTGATACTGCAGCGTTTATGGTTTGGGTTTGGTTGTGGGGGTTATGGGTGGGACAGGGGCGCTCGTGGGGATGACTCCAGTAGCCAGAAGAATGATTATCAGGATAATTATGACGACCACCACGACGATGACCACCACTAGCTTCACGTTCTTCCACCAGTACGAGCGGGCTACTTTGGTGGACGTCTGCTTGAAGGTCTGTGCCTGTGGGAGACAAATTGAGGCTTAGTCATAGCAAGACCAAATAACAAGTAATGTCATGATACTACAATACTCTATTTAAACTTTAGGCAACACTAAAACACAATAAAGGTTGCAATATGGTTAGTGAAGTCTTCAAGATTTACATCACCAGGATACCTTGTATTGTTTGCTAAAACATATTGAGATGTTTTATAAGTTTCACTTTTGTTTTTGAAGCACTGACCTTCCTATCCCTTTGCTCTCCATGCTAAGTCACTCCTCCCTCACACTGCTATCATAGCACATAACACATCCCTTTAATAAAACTACTGCACAGGTTTTATTTATTTATACAGTTAATCATAAGCAGAGTTAATAAGGCCCAGGAGATTAACTGCTGTATCATATGTTTTTTCTTTCTACATTTTGGATATTGTTTTTGTGTTTATTTTTTAAAAATGCACAGAAAAGTTTTAATACCAAAATGTGCTTAAATCAAATGAGAACATCTTTTCGAATTTTGACTCATTTGGTGGTAAAGACAGCTCCAGTGAAGTGGAACAGGAGGTACCACAGACTGCAATAATTTACTTTAATACATCTCTGCTTTATTCACTGCGACTTCAAGAGTGATATTAGTCTAATAGCTCTGATTCACATAGTATTTTTAGGCCACACTATCATATTTGGCCAAAGAACAAGCCTTAAAGTCGGTCCACTAAAAGCCTGACCGCTCTCATGAGGATGGTGTGCCCTGTGCCCGGGCACATGAGCAGAGATGACTCATCAGACTGGTTTATCTGATGGCAGCTGATGTGAGAACCACAGCAAATATCAGTGCTGTTGGTGTGTAAACTAGTGGAAGGAACTTGGATAAAATATGGTACAAATGAATTGTATCCTCAAATTGTACTTGTTCATCAAGAGGAGATATATTCATATTTAAATGTTTCTATTTACACAATCTGTTTCTTCAATCAGTATAATGGAAATTTGCCATATAACAAAAGCAAATGTGCAGGATTCAACACTAGAAAACATTATTTCAAACCCTGGTGGTTTCTTTCTTCACTTGTGCCATTTCCTAATAATGTAATAGTTGCACAGTAAATGGGCTTTGCAAAAACAAGAAGGGACAAGGAACCCAGTTATTTTACATAAAACTTCCTTACATTTAAAATTACATTATTTTACGTAATTGTATTATTACATTCTGCTTATATGGTTTAAGGCTAAAATAATATATAATGATATATAATAATATAATGAATATTACAATTTAATGTAAACTATGTGAAGAAAATAAAGCTAACCAGTTGTAGCTCAGGGCATATATTAGATTATAGATTGTCATTCAAATGAAAAAAGTTCATCAACCTTACAAATATTGTTGCAGTGTCTCAGACTTCACCCAGCTCACAGTCACAGCACAGCCTGTCAGTCAGTATCACCATGTAACCATTTGCATTTTGTAACAGGTCTAGGGTGTGACCCCAGGCAGTGACTCAATAGCACTGTGTGTTGACACTGACCCCGGCCTGCAGGTCTTCAGATTTGCCCATGAGATCGTCCAGCCGCTCCCCACGCGCCAGGATCCGGTCAACATTCTGGGTCATGATGTTCTTGACTCCATCCACCTGCTCCTTCAGGACAGACACTTTGTCCTGGGGCTCCGTGGATACTCCTACTTCCTGTAATACATGTATTCAATTAGAACACATTCTGTGAACCTTTATTAGCAATTCTAAATGTATATTATTATAATGTAAAATTGTAATTAATTTATATTTTACAATGTGAATTCATTTATGTTAAGCATAAAGGTGGTAGGGTGACTGGGGCAATTTAAAATGACCGCAGAATGCACCGTATACCGTACACTTATAGTTAGATGCCCCTAAATGTCTAATTGTTGATTGAACTTTGTAGTGGGCTCCATCTGTGCCCAAGTCCAAATCAACAGGCTTCCTCACTGTGTCCCTGGTTGTCAACACTGATATTTTAACCCTTTGCAATCACCGTTTTCTACATGAATTTGTTTTGTTTCAGTACCAAGTGACTGTTGTTGTTCAGTTTACCAAAGTCATAAATACATTGGAAAAATATTGAGCAACAACAATATGACGTTGTTTTGTACATGTCCTATATTAGTGGCCCAGATGCGGAAAGCCACAGTGCACTCTGTTTGAAAAGTTTGCTTTGTGTAGGTGGTTTATCATTTCTTCAGTGAGACAGCAGAATGAATGGGCATTTCATTGCAGTGTATAACCTTAAAAGTAAATATGAACATGGACTTTGACATCATCATATTTTTCCATTATTCACCTGGTAATTTACTCATTGACTAAGTAACAAATCTTACACCGGCACATTCTCACATATTTATAATGTCAAACTGTATTTATCTTGCTGATAAAAAGAAAAACATTCAGCGTCTGACTGAATGTTTGAGATGTCTAATGATTCAGATGCTCTCAACCATTTTATTACAGTCTGGAGCCATCATGTTAAAGTAGAAATGGTTATTTTTGATGAATGTAGCAATTTTTGGAGACTCAAAGATGCTTATTGCAAAAACAAACTCCACGGAGAAAAGCATTTGATGGACCCTCCATAAGAAAAGTTACACAGTTCACCAACTGCAACAACAAATCAAACAACCCATCCAGACTGAGTGACGTAAACACTCACAGGCCCTTAAATAAATAAAACATTATCTCTCAATTTGCTCTCTTGTAAAATATTTAGGAATAACAATGATGACAAATGTTATTGTACAAACACATCCATACACAACAGCCCGTCCCAAATGACAAATCATAAGCAAATTTTCATTCTTCAATAAATTCCCAAGGTTAAACCACCTTCCTTGGAGCAATTGCCAGTCTGAGGAATAGACTATGCAAATGTAATTAAAGTATTGTATTTTAGGGCAAAATAATATGCAACAGGGCAACAGGAGCAGAAAAAAAGAGAAATGTAATCATGCCACACTGCTGTCTTTGCTGCCATGTGGGACAGCTGTTAGTTCCTCTTTGCCTTTCACAACTGAGGCTGTCATTTGAGAGTAAAACTGTAGGAACTCTGAAAAAGCACAATAAAAATTTTGTAAAATGTAGCCAAACTAATTTTTAAATTTTAACTGCCGCAGTATAAGAAATACAAATTGGGAAAATGTACTGGACAGTATAAGTAAAAAAGTAAAAAATAGAAATAAAATAAAAACACATTTTTTTTATTAGGACTTTTCTAAGATTATAAATCAATCCTATAACTTTCAGGGTTGTTTTGAGGCTTGCCGAATTCAGCTCGAAAGCACCAAAGCTCCGAAATTGCTTTTATTATTTTTGCATAATAAGTAAATCACAATAGTTGAAATGCTAAATTGCGTGATCTGATGCAGTGACTCCAGACTGTGCCCCTGGAGAGACAGAGCGTCCTGTAAACATAACATCTCCATAGAAACGGGCTGGCTGCGTCACTGTAGTCCTCCCTGATCCAGACCTGGATTCTAACGTGACGCTCTGAATGGCTGCTGGCGATCAGATCACACTTTCACACAACACGAGGAAAATAAACAAAAGCTACCAGCAGCTACTAGCATCAGTTACAGACATTATCCTGACAGTAGGACAGAAGAGTATTCTTGTTACTTAGACTTAATTAGACTTAGACAAACTTTATTGATCCACAAGGGAAATTACTTGGTCACAGTAGCTCACAATATATAATAATGACAAAGAAAAACAAACACCAAGAGATTAGTGTAAAAATAAGGCATAATTATATAAATGTTTAAATGTTCAAGTAAAAATAAAATCTGGAAATAAAGTAATAAAAATATATCTCAGCTATATACAAGAGGTCATAAGGAAAAACGGTGCAACGACGATATGATGACTGACAGGAAATAGGATTATCTATTCCAGGTGAGTTGTTGTACAGTTGTATGGGGGTATGGTATGAATGTAGTCCTGTATCACATGTAGTCCTGTACAGCAGGTTCAGCACATAGTTATAGGAACTATCAGAACAGTCAAGCAAGCTGCTACTAAAGATCGACAGACAGATAGACACATACATTTTTCATCCCGAAGAAAATTCATTAATTCATTACATAACAGAGAAGTTCATGAACAGAGAGGAAGAGTCACCTAACCTGAAAAAGAGCAAAAAAATTGAGTCTAGCCTCTTGAGAGCAGAGATGTAAAGAGAGTGTATAGAGCAATGGGAGCGATTCTCACTTAAGAGAGAGAATCGAAGCACATCATTGACTGTGGAGATCTGAAATGCTTTGAACTTTATATAAACCATTTGAAGCATTTCACGGTTTTACCTCTGTGTGGTCCTAAGTTCTGACAAAATGTGTTTTACTGCAACTTTTGAAAGCATGCAGGTCATCAAAGAATGAATTTAGGTCTGGGCAATATTGACAAAAATTTATTATTTATATTTCTTGGGATAATAATATTCAGATATGATGATATTTTGGCCCTCCAAAAGCAAAGTGCTGAAATGTACCACTAAATGTCATGGTTGAGTTTCAAGTCAGCATCACACTAAACATGAATGGACCTTAATATTAAACACAAAAGTTCAGAAATGTTCTGTTAGGATTGTATAAAAAGTTACCAGAATATGTATGCATAATTACGTAGTAAGATTTGTAGTCATTTCTTTCACTTTTAAATTATACATTTCATTAGGAAGAGTCACATATGAAGTAAATGCAAATATTCTTGACCACGTTTGTCCTTATCTACTCAAATGGGAAAGCCACAAATCAGAGTTAGGGCTGCCCAGTCACATTCACATTTACAATTTATAGCCTCATATATCATGGGCAGATTCAGCAGCAACATGCCAGAAATATAAAAAAATTTGAAAATCAATTTTTTACAAATACATCGGGCAAGTGGAAAGACAACCAAAATAGACTTACTATCATATCGATCCCAGTACTGTATTTTATTTAATTTTTTTTTACAAAGGGCTGGAGGTATAGATCAAGATCTGGGAGTGGCCGGGTGAAAATAATTGAACCAAAACTTAACAAGCAAATCACACAGCAGTCCACAGATATCCTAACAATATGGACAGCAAGTATTCATTTAAATTAAAAGATTAACTAAATACAATTAGTTTGATTTTAAAGATGCACTATGTAACTTTTCTTGTAAATGATCAGCCATCTACTTGCCTCCATAGAAATACTATTACATTAAAAAAATTCCTAGAATGTTCCACTAGATGTTTAAAGTCAGATTTGTGGAAAGGCAACCCAGCTCACCACAAGAAAGCATAGTTTTCCAAGGCATTATTCATTTAGCAATAACACACCTAGAACTTAACAGACTGATAAGTTTAATACCATATTGTAGAACATTCCAGAGAAAGCAGTAATGTATCAAAGTTGATTTATAAGTGTGTGCCACCAGTGAAATTACGTTACATAGATCATATTTTTCCATAGATACAGAGAAAATAAACTGCCTACTTTGCAATGATTTGCTGGCATGACAAAATGACCTGTGGTCTAACACAGCATCAAGATCTCACTATTCCCATAATTTAGTCTACATCAGGTCATATTCCAAGCAAAGAGGGCAAGAGAAACAGGATCAAAGCAGGAGTAAAACGGCACTAAAACTGATTTTAATGATGGGTACATTACTACTTTTAATTTTTTTTTTTTTTTTTAACATTTATTACTTTTCTAAACTCTTTTTCTGTCCAATGTATGCAACGCAAAAAAGTCAAATGAATTATTATGACACACTATGCGCAAGACTAATTTCCAATGAATACATTTCTCTTAACATTATAAAAATGTGTTTTGCTAACAGCATAATCGTTACTGTTTGCAGACCAAGTCAGTTTTGTAAAATCTGACTAAATGACTAAATTGTAATAAAGTAATATTAACTTAGATGACAACTAGCTTCTGGGTAAATATGCGGAAAACACCTGTTGATGACAAACATGGCGACGGCGCAGTTTTTCTTGGCGACAAAAAACGATCTTAAAACTCACCGGATCAAAGTCCATCTTGACGGATCCGATGTCCTCTGACCGAAGCCCTCTGGATGAGCTTTATCCAACAAATAATCCAAACTTTAGAGCCTGTTAAAGTAGTTCTCCCAGTCTCGTAACTTCTTGAGCGCTCCGCAGAAATGAGAGCGTTTCCTTCTTTGTTTAACTTCCTGGTTGTTTTTTCTTTCCTTCAAACTAAATTCCTCAAGGTCGCAGCAAACCACTGGAAAATGGGACAGTTAAAAAGGCTTTTGAAAATAACTGTCAAATGCTGAGACAGATTCAAGATTAAAAAACAAATTAAGTTATGTTTAGCTAATGTTTAGGGTAGCTCTGTTTTTTGTTACACAGAAAGTTACGGGCGTTAGATTAAATTTTTTTTAAATTATTTTTATTTTTTTTCTCATTGTAATAAATAAACTAATGAAAAAAAAAAAGGATTTCCTAAGCACATTTAAAAGTTTGCAAAGACTTCAAAAAGTTTAGTATTGATTAAAGAACATAGTGTATCTTTTAACAACGCGGCCAACGTAAGAATTTGGAAATGTAGGAAAAACTAATAACTAAATTATACCTGATTAAGGGCACAGCACAGAGAGAGCAGGGTGGAATTGGGATAGATATTTCATGTCATTGTACTTTTACTGTTTGTATATAGATATAGATTTCTTTGATTACTGCTTGTACATGGTCCTTGTAAAATAAACTAAATAAGATAAACTATAAGCAACGTTAGCCTAATCATAATGTTGTGATTATGTTGGTTATTTTAACATGCTGCCTTAACTACTGTATTTGCATTTACGTTTTTCATTCGACTGCTTTTATTTTGAAGGCGTTTTATAAAGATACTTGTCGCGATGACGTCACCCAGGTGTTCCCGTATACATTTTCGTTCCACACCTCCAGTGCTTCATCATATCTTTACTGAACAAACAGGGCTGGACCGGGCAATAAGAATGAATATGCTTTGCCTGAAATAATGACTGCTTGTATGCTATTCTAATGAACCCTTATATTATGTGCATTCATTTCTGTCTTTGGGTCACTATGGTTCACCCTCATCAATAATGGATCATCTGTGTTTGAGGGTTAGGGGTTAAGGCCGTTCAGACAATGCAACCAAAGGATTCTGAATGAATGTTACTGAAGAGAGAATTCAAACTGTGAATAATGTAACAGTTCATGAACAAAGACCAGCCAAGATTTTTAATGGGAAAATCAGTTTGACTACATGGATGGAAATGTATTTAAATCCCATACTGTCTATCTTATATTACCCCTCCTTTTCACCAGTTTAGCAGCTCCTTCTTGTCATCTGTCCCAGCTGCCCAGACCGGTTTCACCTCTGTTTGAAATGAGCGGAGGTGAGTTTTTAAAGTGTGAGTGTTCACTACCCTCTGCCAGGCCAACGCGGGCAAGCAGCCTGTCTGAATCACAAGCAGTTAAAAGTAATTGTCGCCATTACATGCATTTTGGACAATTTGCCTGCAAGCTATTCAGAAATCTGCTAAGTGCTGCCTGTTACCGTTGTGGGAGTAATAATGAGATAAATTTTTATCCAGAATGGTGTGGAGTTTCAAAAGTTTTAAAGAACATTCGAACCAATCCATGTTAGAAAAAAAATCATTTTATTTCTTTTGACAATATACATTTTTTGTGCGGTAGTAGAGGGGTACAATAATCTACAACTGGAAATACAGTGGTAGAGAATAAAATTTTAAAAACAATTTGATGTTTACTAGGAAATTGACATCTCTTGTTTTTTCACATGAACTACAAAGTTACAATACAAGCATAAAATCAAGTGGAAAAGAGAGATATCCATATGTTACAAAGTACAGAAAATGGAAAGTATAGAATAAAAAGAGTGAATTTTTCAGTTCAACGGCCTTGTCTGATGATTATGTCTGACATGTCGTCTACCTTTACAAGCTCCAGATTCTGAAAAAGAAAAATATATAATGCAAAAATTGTTTGTAGGGTGACATTCAGAATGTATGAGGGAGAGACCATTAGCTAGAATAGTGAAAGGGTGAGTGCTTTTAAAATTCTATACAGTGTTTTGATACTTTGCTCTTTAGTCAATATTAATTAGAAAGGTTTCACATTGAGAGTCAGACGAAGTGACTGTAGGTTTGAGTTCAATGCCACGTCAGTAAAAGATGTTTGTGTTTAGCCTGTGTACAAAAAAAAAAAAAAAAATTATGTATTATTCAGAAAACATTCTCTTACCTTTTCATTTGCGAGATGAAGAAGAGCCACAAACGCAAGAGGCACTGACAAATTCTGAGCCATCGTGTTTGGTAATCTGGTTAAAAAAAAAAAAAAAAAAAAAAGACACATTTAAAGGTTGTATGGAGGATTTTTTTTTGTTTCAAATTGTTAATGATAGCATTATAGAGATGCAGTAGCCTTGTAATTATGATGACCAAAAAAAAGAGAATAAAATTCATCAACTCTGGACGTGGTGGGGCCAGCTAAACATTTGCCAATAGATAACGACACTGCCTCGTTATCTGTTAGCTGACAGGCTGTCAATCAAACTCCCTACATTTCTAGCGTAACTGACTTGCCTGCGCGCCGCCGGTACATGGTTTACGTACGCCTGTCAGGCAGTCCACAGACGCAAGCCGCACAGACGCAAGCCGCACAGACGCAAAGCCGCACAGACGCAAGCCGCACAGACGCAAGCCGCACAGACGCAAGCCGCACAAGCCGCACAGACGCACAGACGCAAGCCGCACAGACGCAAGCCGCACAGACGCAAGCCGCACAGACGCAAGCCGCACAGACGCTGTTTACTCCACCAACGCAACAGTTCTTAGCGGCTTTTTTTTTACCTATATCTTCCTCGCAGTTAGCACAAAGTTTGTTGCAATGGCAGACAAGAATCCAGGAGCAGTTAGCCGCAAAAGAAAGTCCGTTTTTGAGGTCGCTGAAAGAAGAAGACAAGGGGAAAAGCAGCGAAGCCAAACTAAGGTGATTCTTGAAGATTCATTCCAGCGATGGCGCAACTGAAGCAGACGCAGGGTCTAAAGACTGACGCATTGGTCGCCAAATTACTCCTGGACAGGTCACTTCTGCTTATTATGAAAACGTACTTTATTTCCAAGAGCTAGACAAACGTTTTTCAGGACACGAAAGCGATATCCTATGTCTGAAAACGTAATTTTCAATGCAAAGAAAGAGTCCGCTTGCTGCTGCGTGTTGTAGCTAGTTCATTCGCACTGAATCTCCGCGCAACCTTCTCTGCACCCCTTTCCTGCTCCTCTCCCCGCTGCCCGATCCGCTCTTCCCCCTGCTCCTCACTTCTCCGGGCACGGAATCTCCGCGCACCGCTCCCCTCTCCTCTCTCTGCTCCGCTCTTCTCCCTGCTCCTCACTTCTCGTCCGCGCACCCGCTCCCCCCGCTCCTCACTTCTCCGCCTTGCCTAACCAACACTGTAGTTAGTTGTTTACAAGTCATGTGCAGCGCACCGGCTGTAAACAAACCTGTTTCTGGCGTAAAGAGGAGGCGGGAGAAGGCGTTTCTATGTAGGGAGCTGTGGGGTGGGGGGGTGGTTTCACGCATGCGCAACATTTGAAAGTGGTACTAATTAGTGGTAATCCCAACCAAACTATCTTGCCTCAGTAAAAATATAAATTAAACAGCTCTTGTAGTCAAAATAAATCTACTAGCTTTGTTTTGGTCAGACAATCAGGAAGTGTTTAAATGTTTTACAACTGTAAAAATCAGGTATAGTGCCTTTAATGAGGAAAATCAATAAATTATGTTTGATGCTGGTTCATTAGTATTACTGAAAAACACCTTGGTTATATAATAAATAGCATTTGATTAATATAGCACTTTTCTATATACTGTCTAGACCACAGGTGTCAAACATAAGGCCCGGGGGCCAGATCCGGCCCTCCAAGACCTTTAATGTGGCCCTTGGGTGATTTTCTACTAAAATATTTCAATTATATTTTCTATTAAAATATTGGTAATTTTCTGCGGTGCTGAGCATAGCAGCGTCTCTAGTGTCTCTGTACGTGGCCCCTCCCACCAGAGCAGCACAAATGAAGACTTGTCTCTTTCCAAACGCTCTTAAAGGACGATCGTTTTGACTGTTGACCGTGACACCCTCATCAGAAAAATGTCCAAAATTAGAAAAGTGGAGCCGAGTGCAGGATTTTCCAAGATAAATGGACTTATTCTTATTTACATACAAGTTCATGTTAAAACATTGTGTTGAAATTGAATTTTTCTTAAAGTTTCAGGTTGTTCATAATATTATAATATTTTGTAAAAGAAAGAGTTCATCAATTAAAAAAGATTTCTGTAATAGATTTGCATTTCTCTGCACAAATATTTGAACTTATTGTTATTTTTGGGGTTTATATGACATGAGTTTTCTGATCCGGCCCCTTTGGGATTAAAGTAGGTTGGATACGGACCCCAGACCAAAATGAGTTTGACACCCCTGGTCTAGACTCTTGGCCTTGAAATATGCCAGTGTAATGTATAATGATGCCCAGCCATTGGTTATTAGTTAAATGAAAATTGTTCATTAAAGCAACCATTTAATTTTTCAAACAAAGAAAATTAACAGAATGGGCGTGGGCACCTTAGAACCAGCATAAACTTTCATAGCATTTCTATACTGTACATGTTATCTCTTCCCCAAGGTCATATTGTTATGCCTGATCAATTATATGCCATTTCACTTGAGTTTCTGTCTGCTTTTTTGGCTAGCTTTTTAGGTGTATTGGAAACCCGCTGTTACCTTTGAAGCAGCGACTTTGTGGTTTGGCTGAACGCCTTCTCTCCGCACACCTCTGGTTTCTCCACAGTCTCCACCTCCTACGGCGAACATGAAAGTTTGGAATTAGACTGGCCTCATGTTTAATGCACACTAGATAATATTCACCGCATTTTAAGGACAAGGCTCAAATCACTGAAAATTCACCTCCTTGGGTTTCTCTGGGCTGTCTGTCAGAAGTGTCCACATGCTGTTCTTTAGCCTCTTCATATCCATTTTCTTAGCTGTTTTAGCATAGTTTATTTCAATTTTGTTTACCTAAAAAAGAAAGTACAAGAATTATTTAAAAATTGTTCTCAGCTCAAGTGGTCTTAAAAGGGCACCATGTAACTTTTCTGGTAGAGAACATGCCACCAGCA